TTGTTTGTTTAACGATAGGAACATACGGGGAGGATCGATAGTTTGCCCGGAACGGTCGAAGAATCAGAGGAGCATCGCTTGCGGAAAATTAGATTGTATTTGCGCGCAATTGTTTACGATGGAACACGATGATTTTGATACGTGAATGTTGCACGATTGTCCGCTATTGTCCTATGCAGATATTATGAGATAATGTATGAAAGCGTGGAACAGACTGCGGATGTTCGTTCAAATGTATACTTTTAGAGGAAATCGGTAATAAAGGGGGACCTGCATGGAAATTTGTTTTATTTTCAGAAGATTTTAATCATGGACCATTTATTTTGTAATCTCGCAGGATGTAATTAGACCCGTGCAAGCAATAAACGAAAATCCTCAACTCAAAAATAACCGTTCCCGGTCGATCGTGCCATAAACCGTTTCTACAGAAAACCTAACAGCACGACTGACTTGCTTTTGTTGCTCGCCTCTTATTTATATAATACATGCACAGATGTTTCGGGAAAGTTCTCGGTTATTCCAAACGAAACAAAAGTGAATATGTTTATATATCTTCCGCGGTTCGAGAAATTTCCCGAATGCTCTCGAAATAAATAGAAAATTCCTTACACCTGTAAGAATTTTACCAATAAAAGTGTCTGATCTTAAATTCATAAAACTAGTTTATTCCTCGTACTCTTATCTCGCTGTAACTTCGTATATGCGCGAAAAGCTGTTAGCATATAATTACAATGCCACACAATACTGAAACTATCAGCTCATCTTCAGCATTGTCGTCATAAAATCTGCCCAACTCCTCATATATCACAGAGACACGAGCGAAACTTCTCCTGCTTATGTCATCGAGCCGATATTCACGCGCACGATAAACAGAAACTTGTCATTCAGGCGCTAACTTCCGCAGAAGATCGCAGTTTCCGACTTCCGAAGTTCCGTCCATCAGACTCCGAGAGTCACGATTGGTTACAATATTGTTCGAATTCAAACAAGAGCTGAACCAAGATTGAAATAAAACTTCGCACCGCGGTTTCCGTTATAATTGAACATTTTAATGGATCCAGGACTGTTTACCGGAGACAATTTGCACAGCCAGCAATGGTTCCACCCGATATATTCTACTTTCTCGTTTGATAACGCTGACTAAACTTCGCGTATTCAGTCAGAGCTCTGCCAGCAATCTTAATGAGGTCTCTTAGTGCTTTGATCGTCGCGATTCGACCATAAAAAGCCATCATAGGGACGCGGAACTTGCTTCAAATCCTTCGATTCGCTTTGAACTTCCCAAGTCAGTGGCGGAAAGTTCAAATAGACATTCAACAGAAGATTCGACTACGTTTTAATTCTGCAAATAGTCAAGTTTCTATGCTAAAGAGTAGTCAATTGCTTAAAGTCATGTCGATTGTTTGCCATAATCTTTCGTTTCTTTTGCTTCATATAGTCCATTGCAAGGTGAAAAGGATTTTTCAGGAAATTTCTTGTCTGTGATAATAGGGAAATTGGAAGAATTTCATAATAATAATTTTCTAAGGAATTAAGAGGTTATACAGAGTGAGACACGTAAAATAACATTCCTAAATTATCTTCTCTAGCTACGGTGGTACGAGACAATTTTTATACGTAATTTAAACGGTTTTTAAACTTAACTTCTTATAAGTGCCATATTTTTCTATTCTCTTTCAAAGTCACCTACATCTTTTTACACGAATGTATATATTTTTTTCTACTGCAGTTTGGACTCTAAAATTTTTAATCAAATGCGAAACTTCCTTTCATTTCTTGCCATTTCTTCTATCTTATTCACAATTTGAAAATAGTTAAATTGCATATAAAAATTTTCTCGTACCGCCATAGCTTGAGAAAATAATTAGGTGGCCTGTTTTACGTGGCCCACCCTGTATATTACAGAGTGTATAAGGTGTTTAACGACGCTTTGTTGCACTCAACTTCGTTTCCAAGGAGAACACGAGTAAGGATGAAAAAAAAGGTATTTTGAAGAACTACAATATTCATTTAATTGTTACAAATACTTGAGAAATTGAAAACGACGAAAGAGAATTTAAAGCAAACAAATATATCGCAAAGACTAATTAATTTCACTAAATTTCCCTTATTTTTGAAAATTAAGAGAAAATTCTACTAAATTTCCCTTATTTTTGAAAATTAAGAAAAACTTCTGCTAAATTCTCCTTATTTCCTTATTTCAAAGAGTAACAATGGAATTACACGTGTATTTGCATACACCTAACTAGAAAACGCGGAAAATTTCGTGCATTTTCTCCACGAAAATTTGCTTCCCCCATTCCATTGAATTAATCAAATCGACAAAAATTGCTCCACATGTTCAATCTCGTTACTTTAAAGTGATTAAACCCTCTCCCTGCTGCACGATCACTCGACCACCTCAATTGGCTTTTTTATTATCGTCTAATAAGTAATCGACCGATTAATTAACTAGATTACATTGTATTATGTGAGGGGTGAAAATGGATGATCGTAAATCCGGCCGAAAAATGGGCGAATTTTAAACGGCTGCGGTTTTAACCATCCCGATAAATAATGTTTCCCTTCCCTGGCGAATGGTAAATCACGATTGTCGAGGATCGATAATAGATATAAATCTTGGCTAATACGTAATTACTATGTTAATGCGTACGTTAATTATAGCGCAACTGGATTTATCTTTCAATTAGTCCTGTTCGCCTGTCGCGTGATTCAAACAGGAAGAAAAATAAGGGTATCGCTTTGATTCCGCGTGTATACTTATTGGTATGTCGATTTCTGTTATTGGTGGGTCTTACGCTTATAGATTTTGGTTTAACGAAGCTTTCGGTTCATTCGATTCGAGTTTTTAGCGATACTGAAACATGAAAAATATGTTAAAGTGCTTAGTCTTTCTGTTAGTATTTTCGTTTCAATTTGCATAATTTCGAGTTATTTTCTCAGATGACGGACAAGGTTCTCGATGGAAATGAGTTGGGTAATTGTTTCAAGATATGTATACGTCATTTTTGAAATTATTGTTCCGGTACTTTTTAAGCTAATAAAATGTATAGAGTCTTCGAAATACTGTACAATCGTACTTCACAAATAAATTTACAATCATTATTTACTTTGCCTTTATTTCTGTTTTGAGTTTGTATTTTAAAATCTTTTCGAACTAATTTTACATTAACCCAAAGTAAATAATTACGATTATGATAAGTCAACGAACATGTTTAAACATTTTCCTTCCAGAATCCGTAATAATAACAATTGTTTACTGCAGTACTGTAATATAAAATAGTCATTTTAAAGGAATAATAAATGAACTATCATACAAATTAAGACTAATATTTAACGATTCAAGTAGCAGAAGTAAATTTTTCAAGAAATCGGTTTGAAATTTTTGGTAGTAGAAAGTTATTAATTACTCAATCATTTAGCAATGAAAAGACATTTTCTCTTTTACAATTTAGCCAATAGTTTCGGGTTTTGAAGGCATCTAATAAAATATTGCTCATGTGTAGTGCTTACTCTTTAAAAAAGGGTTAAAACCCTACTTTGAATTGTGACATTGTTCTTCTTAAATAGTATAATTTTAATTTTAATTTTAACGAATATAGCTCAATTTGAATTATCTCTTGCAGATATCACAAAGTTGATTATTTTTTACATATGAGTTGTTCACAGACCAAACTTTCTGAATTTTTAAAAATTTTAGTGTCAGAGCACTTTATCGATGCTCATCCTTTTACATTTAAAATAAATTTCCTTAATAATTAGCCTCAATACCGCTAAACGACAAATATGTTGATGGTCGCTGAATGATAAATAATTTATTTCAGAAGCCAATGTGATTAACTCCTTCCTCTAAAACAAATCCTTGTAATAATATAATTCAAACACTAGTAAGAATTTAGCTAAGTAATTTTTTAGCAAAAATATTAACATTAGTGTTTATATTTGATGCATATACAACAATTTCATCAATTTTCTCTACTCCTCTACAACTACCAAACAAAGGAACTGAAGCAAAAACACACAAACAGAAGAGATCCACGTTAATGCAAATGTTATATGTTAGGGGCTTGCGGTTGATCTTTGCCGGTTTTTGCACGTGTGTGCCGACTAATGTTCTAAGGCTTCGAAGGACCAGTTTCTTAATTGAAACACTAAGTTTTTATTTTATGTTCTATTTTCTACAACTAATTCAAGATATAAATTCTATTGCGAAGTGAGAGGTGTTTCTGTTTCTCCCGCGAGTTGCAAAGTGTTTCTCTCGAGTGACCAAGTGTTTCTCCTGGAGTCTCTGCGGTTTCCCTCGAAGAAGACTCCTATTTTCCTAAAAACACCCTGATTGGTGATTTTTCCTTTTCTAAATCACCAATCAGTTTACTCCGGTGCATCGCAACCACCCTCCATTTCGCCCTTAGCGCGTTATCTTAGGGTGGGGTAAACAACGACCGGAGAAACTGTTCGGTGGACGGATGCGTGGGAATCCTGTGGAATCTCCGCTTTTCTAGGCTTTGTTAAAGTCAAGTGGCCCATCGACAGTGGCAAAAGTTGTGGGCCGCTTTTCTATTTTCCGTGCGGAGACTCCAGGACTTATGGCAGGGTCTGGTCCTAGGGACTAAGTGTCGCAGGCAACGCAATAAACACTTGTGGTGTTTTGAGAAAGCGATATTTGCCTGCGACGGCGACCACTTGACTCGCTGCCATAAATCCGGCTACAGGATACGCCTTAACATTATACAATTATTATACAATAACCGAACACAGTAGTTGAAATAACAACGGAACACCGAACAAAGCATTTGTCACCTGAACGTGAATATCACACTTCTGAAAAATATTTTCCCAGGACTGATACTGCTTGAACAGCAACCTTGTTCAAACTTGCGCTTTGTCTCTCTCCCCACCCGAGGCTTTACATCGCGATATTAAAATCCGGTTACACGGTATCCGGCGTGATCGAGCTTGCCCGGCGATGTAATGAAAATGTTTTTCCTCCCTTTTTGCAGGTTGAATTCGTCGCAGAGGGGGTGAAAATGGAGCTGATCGAGGCAGCCAGGAGTGGAGCTGCCGGCGCGGCCGCCTGGGGCAAAATAGATTTCCACTGTCGGGAACCGAGAGCCTCGGACCCAATCACCTTCACCACAAGGGACTCTCACCTCGTGAGTATTCCCGCTCTGTTATTCCATTATGAGAAATAAAAAATGCCCTCGAACAGCGCGCTGATAAGTTTGACGTCTGTTCGAGCGAGCCAAAAAGCCCCGAGGAAATTTCTTTGCCGGCTCTCCCCCTTTCGCCAAACTAACTGTATGCATTATGCGTTTGAATTATGCGTTTAACCCATTGTCCACGAGGCGCTTGCGGGACCACGTGGATTTTCGTCAAATTGCCTTTGTCCGATCGTTGTAGTAAAAATGTCCCGTTTTTCTGCTTTTTCTTTGTTCGAAGATACTACAGTGCTGTGAACGTTGAGATAGAATTTTGGATGCTGTGTACTTCGGAGAGTGAAGATTGAACGATAGCGTTTTGTAAATGTAGTGAAAAGTTGATCAACGGAAACGTCAATTATTTGATAGACTGGTTGTTGAAGAAAACGGAGCAAATCTAACGTGATAGGCTTATGGCGACACAGATGTCGATTAAAACTGTTTACTAGCGAGCACGATGTGATTTCTTATGAGAAAATTAGGAAAAAATATAGAATATAATTTTTTCGTCTACAAAAAGTATGATAGTACTCGCGAATTAAATCTAAAATTCTTATATCTTAGTTAAAACTGCACACCTATGTAGCAGATTTTCAAATTTGACTATCTCGAAAACTAAATCTGGGATGAAAAACTTTTACTATTTTTTATTTTCTTTTTTCATACGGAATCACTTTGTGCACGCTGCTACATAACTTTCGGTCGCATCCCGACTGGCAGATTACACCTATTATGTTTAAATTTATCTAAATTTGCTCATTTCGGTAAAAATTTTTCAATCTGATATTATTTCTTTTTGCACATTACTGCTTCGTTGAACAATTCTATTCATACAATAGGAACGTATAAAAAATATGATTTTTATGCTAAAATTTGAGTATTATTAAAATTAATTGGAAATCAGTAATTCATGTTTTCAACGTAAAAGTATAATATGCTTTACATTCGGCGATGCAAAAGTACAGTCTTCTGAAATTTGCAACTCCATTGAATTTACTGTATTTCTATAAATTTGTATCACTTACAAAATGGTTTGTACTTTCAAGTGAAAAGGAAACTACACAAAGTATGTTTCCACGTTTTCCAAAATTTCGAATATAATATACAGGGTGTCCCAGTTGTTTCCGATCAAATTTTGTCAGTATATTCTATGGGTCCAAGTAAGAAAAAAATGTTATACAAACATAGGTCGTTTGAAGCTTCGTTAAGAAGTTACGAGAAAAATACGAAACACGAAGGGTGTGGTAACGAACTTCCGGTTACTATGATGCAAGACAAGAATGGCACTGGCAAAAGTTACATTCAACACCTTCAGTAAATTCAAATTATAAGCACAGCTTGCATAAACAAACAGTAAGTACATATCATTGATTTATTCCTATTTTATTACTATTTCCTCCGTATTCCATATTACTGCTATAACTTTTTAACGAAGCTTTGAACGACCTATGTTCGTATAACATTTTCTTCTCACATATACCCATAGAATACACTGGCAAAGTTTGATGAGAAACAATTGGGACACCCAGTATATGAAATAAAATTCTCGCCGCACAAAATTTCAGGTATTTCATACATTGCGAATCACTAAAATTGAATAATTGTCTGCAGTAGTATTACAAATAATAGCTGCAAATTTCCCATTATCCCTGCTGAAAGAATAGTTGCACAACTTTGTACGATCAAAGCCTGAAAAGGCTGATAAATTGACTCGCTTTTATTTCGAACGAACGGTAACGCGTTCAATATCTTACAAGCGCTCTTACTAATTTTTTTTTCACGTAATCTTCCGCGTTTGCTCCGCCCGATCTATCGTGCGGTGAATCAATTGTAAAAAAATGACTCACTTGTTCTATCATTTCCGACGATCGACATTTCACA